CATGGAATTTCATTTCTAATAACCGAAGACTAACTCTGCATCTAAACTCAAGCCACAAATTCTGCTTTAATAAGGCATGCATTTCCAACGAGGGTTAACCGAGCAAGCTGAATTCGTCCTGCATGTGGTTCACCGCCATTAGATGCGAAATGAATGCGCATCTTGCTGCAGATTAGATAGTAGTCGCCAACGTGAATTTTTAAAATGTACTTCTCAACTTTAAATTCAGTTGGTAGAGAAGAACATATTTAGTAAAATAACAATATATTTGTAAACTATAAGCTTAATCCAGTACCTAGTTCCGAAGAATACTTTTTCCAAAAACTCTCTTTAATGAGTACGGGTACTTTCAAAAAATTAACTGTTATGCATTATGCACGTATCTAATATTAAAAATTATTTGACTTTTAATTGAAAATACTTTAAACAATTTTCTGGAAACTTTTTCCCATAGGTAATTTTTTCCGTTAGGCAGATTGGCGGTTGCTGATAAATGGGATATAGTTTGTCCACTTTGCGATTTGACTACGATCGCCGGTGAAATGTCAATGAACTTTTAATCTGTCAGATTCGTCGAAACACTATGGGTCTCTTTAATACACCCGTGTTTCGATTAATTTACGAGAAATAAAATTGCAGGTCATTTTCCGCATACTGATACTTCTTTAACACTGATTCTTGACCGAACAGTTCGACTGATTCTCGTAGTTTTGTTAGCATTTGTGACATGACTTCTCGGTTACTTCACTTAATAGTTTCCGCGTTTTTGTGCGACTCTCAACGACCGTGACCTTATTCATTGCTCCTGATATTTCAAGGTTTAACAGTTTTTCTCTTGTTTTCGAAGTGAGCAGCTGGGTCACTAACCGGGTCGTGAAGAAACTTTTCGATATCAGTCGTTCAGTTTATAATCTGCAAATTAGAAAGCAGGCCTACGTCGATTTTCCTTGCTCCGTTTGCCATTTCGTATGTCCTAAGACAACGCAGTAATCTACGGAAAACTGCAAACAAGTTAAACACTTTGGTCTACGCATTACCGCAATGAATGCGTTTATTGGGTAAGCATTTAGTAAAAATTAAATTTCTGTGTACATATATAGTGGTTTGATCGCTCGGCTATTCCTGCGCCACATTTGCTCAATTAACGAGTGCCTGAATTTGAAGCAATTTTAAACTAAAGAGTATTACGTAACACTAAATAAAAACTTAGGTCAGTGCATAATAAAAAAACGCAGGTTAGCTATTATAGCCTATCATGAAAAATATCAAAATTTTCGTGCATGTCACAGCTAAACATATATGAAAAATTTTTTGCTGTTACTTATGGTGAGATTTGGAAGATACAACGTGGATCAGATCTTCGAAGGGAATGATCAGTACAAACGAAATGAACGCCGCTTAGACATTATACCAAGTTAAGAAGAAACGACAGAATTTCTCATTAAGGTTAATGAATGATCATAAGGAAGCCAACTTTAAGTACTTTGAAGAACGAATGCTCCGCCTTTTCGTATCACTAATTTGAAAATTCGAAACTGTGGGAAAAAGCGGTTCTAATTAATTTTAAATAATTAAAAAGGGAATTGTTTTAGATCTATGATTGCAGTAACTTCTATACTCTACTATCAAAAGGCTTGGTGCACGATATTTGACATTTCCCTACACTGCGACGGTACGTGCTATGGTTGATCTGTTTTCAGCTTTTGTCGCGGATAAACTTGATAAGTTGTAGCTTGCAAAATGGTGCTAAAAGAATTGGAACCGCTTATCGATATTGCAACTGAAGGCGACGGAATGAAACTAGGACTGATCCAAACAAATCCCGATGGCACAGAACATTGGGTAAGTCAATGGAATTTGTATCGCAAAGCTTCCTTAAAAAATGGGTATTTAAAATATGACCATTACCGAATAATTACTGAGAATGAAAGTTCAGCTCTCCAGAAATCGTAATTTTTTTGGCATCAATTGATGAATATTTTGAGTTCATAGTCTACCAAAAACAGGCAAAATACTCTACTTTATCGCGTCTTGAACAGTCAGGTTCGAGTATTCTGTCATTCGTTCATTCAGATAATATTTTCAATTACATTCTCACGCTGCTTCTCTTTATGCTTCTGTTTCATATCAAAAAAAAAGGCGCAAGAACAGATTGCTTTTGACTCTCTATGAGCCAAACATTAGTAAACCATGTTGTAGGAAATATGCTCTTCACATCATCAGATTTTGAAGAATTGCAAAACAGAGAATTCTGGCAGAAGTGCTAATAGTAGACTATCTGACTTGGTGAATATATGAATGTAAAAAGAGAGGTATTTCTGAGCTTGCTGAAATCGCTGGCATTTTCAACTATTTGATGGAGCCGGGAGAAAGGTTTGCCGAAGTTTTACGATTAGAGGGGAAAGTAAGAAAATCATTGGTATGTGGCAAATGAACTACAGTACCGTAGCTGCGTTACAACTATTGGTGGTAACCTCTTGAAATAAACGGAAAAATTTAGTCTCAAATTTCTCAAACTGGAACAACGGATGTTGGAGGAGAAGATTACCGTTTGCATCCGACCCTGATTTTTTTAGAACTTTATTTTGCTGGCAACGAGGCCGATATGCGCGTCAACGTATGCAAGAACTAAATGCCTCGTGGTTTCCTGGCACGCTATTTCTTACACTATTTAATATCCGGCGGAGCAACATCCCTGAAAGTGGCAATTAATTTCACGTACCTTGAGGTACTGTTTGTTGGTGATGGAAAATAGAGAAAGAAAATGATCGGCGAGTTGCAATAGCCAGCAGTGTTCTATGCGAACTAGCCCAAACCGTCATGATTCAAAGAGAGTTGAGTATGAAGACTAAGCTGCCTGTGTTTTGATCGATTTTCACCAAAACGGTCAACGGTTGTCTTGATTCGTGTGCCATTACGAAAAAAGTTAAATCCCTGCGGCAGGCTACTGAAATGAGCGTGAGGACCGAATTGTTGGGCTCAAGTTACTTAGCAGTCAGCAATTTTTTTAGATATTCAAGAGGTTCTTGGTATCCAATCGCTGATTCTACGGTCTGAGAAGTCACATCTACGATGGTAGGGGCACATTTTGTGAATGTATTCGGAAAAATAACAGAAACAGCTACTACTTCCTCGACCGAACGGCTTAAGACGCAGAGGAGGGCCAAGTAGTCTCGGAAGCAAGTGCCTCAGCTGGCTCAACTCCTAAATCAGGTTATCTTCTGCCGAAGCTCAGCGGCTGATATGCGCTCACGGAACATTGCAGGCACTACCTGAAGCTGCTGTTGCCTTGGCCCGAAAAGATAAGTGACGGTCGAAACTGGCTGACTGAATTTCCTGAGCAGAACCTGAAGCAGAATCAGCTAAATAACTTAGCGGTAACTGATTAAATCTACTATCCTATATTCTGCCAGTTTCTTCAGTCAGTCCTAATCCAAAATTTCGACCGCAAATCACAAACTCGTCGAAGTTCATATTAATATCCAATTTAGCAAATGACTCCTCCAGGCCAGTTCTCAGGCGTATTGCATGACTCCTAGACTTAGTGGCCATTTAATCAGGCCACAGATCCATGATATTTGTGCACCTGCGGTGCTAGACTCACGTCGCATAATTGTATAAAGCCACCTTCGCTAAATCCACCTTGCCCTCATTGCAAACAATGTTCCAGGAATTGATACTCCTCGTATTCTACCGC